ATAGAATAGAAATTGATATTGGAGGAGAAAGTTTATTCCAGCAACGTACTCAAGTTATAATAATAATAATAAAACATAGGTCAGTGTGTACAGTCAAGAAAACAATTGGATATATATATATATAATTATGTAACTTGATTATTACTATTGTTGATGAAATAAATTGTCCAAGTGTTTTGAGTCGATGTCGAGTAAGATGGATGTGTTTTGCTCAATAGATAGTATCTTCGCCTTTTTTTCATTAATCTTCTCTAGAGATATACAAAACAAATGTTTTTTTTCTTTTGATATAATGACAATAAATAAATTAAATTAAAATAAAAAGAGAGAGAGAGAGAGAGAGAGAGATGATCGATTCAGCTCTGACTTTCCAAATCAAATATTTGTTTTGTAAATAATTTTTCTTGTACGTTTTTATTTACCTTTTCAATGACTTGCATTTGGGGATTGAATTACATTTTTTGAATGAATGGATTTCATCAAAATGGGAAGCCTCCATGTTTATTCTTCCTTCGACAATCATAGCTAGTTGTCTTTAGAATTTAAAATGGTATTAGAGAATAAAAAGAACGAGCAATTGGACAAGAAAGATGGTTCCAGTGAGGTATCAGTTGGTGAGTTGATTTATACTAAACTTCAATTTAATTTCTAATTTCGCCATTGTTTTACATTAGTCACATATTGTTCCCCAAACAAATAGAAATTACTTAGCTTACTTCATAACTCATTCAGTGTATTAACGCTCTCTTGACATGCCCTAGTGGTTAGTTGGCAAGTCATATAGTGATTACGTGAAAGATTTATTGTGCTATACCTTTTGATTAAAAAAATTTATCAATTCGAGAAACAACAAGCGATCAAATTGTGAAATTTGTAAAACAAATTAAAATGTAACCACTGCAATTGAAACTTACTGGAAAAATTAATAATCATGATCACATGTAGGTTTTCTTTTGCTTTCTTTTTTATTAATCGGAAATTATATATATATATATATATATATTACTTTAAACTGGCTTAAAGAAAGTCTTGTGAAAAATCACTGCATTTTCACCTTCGAGTGAGCGGGAGGCGTCTTTTGATTCAAATATCTCGATAACTTCGGGAAAGTGCACATGCACATTTGTCTATTCTAATATACAACATAGAAAAAACATTTAAAAATTAACATTGTACTAGTAAATTGTCAGAGCATTTACAATTCAAAGAAGACGTTGAAAGATTGAAGTTTTGAAATACCCCCATTCTTCTAATTTAATTTACAAAACGACCTCCCAACTATAGTAAAATAAAGAAAAACTGGGGCAAATTCAATCAGGGTCACTAAACTTTCAGTAAAATCTCAATAGAGATGCTAAATTTTATTTTGACTCAATTAGGATCACTAAATCTCAATTTAATTTCTAATTTCATCGCTATGTTACATTATGTATTATATTGTCCGAAATTGCTTGGTTTACATCATAACTCATTTAGTGTATTTATTAATTTCAACACTTGATGTGATTTAGTGGTTAGTAGGCAAGTGATGCAGTGATTACATGAAAGATTCGTTCCATTATGTTTCTTGATAAAATTTATCAATTTAAAAAATGACATAACTTTAATAATATGAACACATATGATATGGAATTGATGATCAAAAGGGATCCTCCTACATTATTGTTAGTTGGAGAGGCACAATCAAACTTTGTACAAATCAAATTCTTTGTTCTCGATTTTTTAATGATTTATATTTGACCTGAGAAAATGTAGATTTATATTTAAAAAAATTTCTTCATTAATATTTTGATCGCCATTTTCATCATTTTGATTTATAACAGTCATTTTATTAATATTTTGTTCATCACAAGAAAATGCAAACTTATATCTAAAAAATCTATCGAATTTAATACAATCAATCAATTCAAGTGATCGAAAGGGAAAACATATAACAAATATTCAATCAAATAAATACAATTCATTAAATACAAGTTAAATTGAATATAATTAGTTCTAACATATTCAATATACACAAACATGATAGGAGAAAATGCAAATTTAGGATCTAATTAATTAAAAATTTGATCAGAACGTGAAAATTTGTAGTAGATGTGATAATTTGTTGAAAAATTATAGACAAATTTTAAAAAAATTAGAAGGGTTAAGGTTTTGATAAAAGATGTGAGGGAGAGAGTAAGATAAAGTAAAATAAAATAAAATTAAAAAATTCAAATTTATTGTGATCTTACCCTTGTTTGGTGGGGTTAAAATCAGATTTTTAATATATTTTGATAAAATTTAAAAATTTAAGGTTTTCATGAAATATATTATTAAAATTAACTGCTAACTTTGATTTAAATTAAAATTTAGATTTCAATCGATACCAAACAGGACTTATCCTCCAAAACAAAAAAAAAAAAAAAAAAAAAAAAAAAAAAACTCGAAAGTTATGGACCCCCTGGGACTCCTCTTAGATCCGCCAGTGCCCCGAGATAATTTGAGAACCCTTAGTATCAAAAGCCCGACATATACACATAATTATGTGTCGCTCAAGCCCCCAGGGCATATCTCCCAGTGGCAAAGGGGAGGGCGGATAGGGCTCAGCGCGGCAGTGTGCAGAGTTCGATTCCCCGCAAGGTGGAATTGACTTTGTTGCAAGCGGGAGTTACCATATGGGTTAACAGCCTTGGCCTATCCATATGCTCTCCACCCTGGCTCCTAGGAGGCACATCCTGCGATTTACCTCCTCCACGATGGCCCAGGGCAGGGTCGGTGGAGGCCCTTAAGGTTGGGGTTCAACCTTTTTTTTTTTTTATGTGTCGCTCAATTATGCACAATTTATTAATATTAAAAGAGCATGAATAATCATGTCAAATACATTTATCAATAGTTTTCTCTGGGGGCGTGGGAAATGGGTTATGGGTCATTGGACCGCGGACCGACAAATCAATTTATAATTTATATTTTTCTTTATTATTTTAAAATTTGCATGAAACAAACAAATATGACCTATAATAATAGTAAATTCACGAACTTTCATATAAAAAGAAGTCAAATAATATCAAGTCCGAATGAAGCACTTTTTAGTTTATAAAAATGTAAACTTGTAATGAAAATGGATAGGAGAAAGCTAAGAAAAAAGAGGTGGAGATCACAATAAAATTTTTGAAATAACGGAGAAGATGGTTAGAAATGATACCAGTGGTTGTTTGGTAAAAACATGTTTCTAAACTTGTCGCAATAGAGATGCACAATTAATATATAAAATTATTGCAGTTCAACTGTTAACCTCATGTCACCGGTCGACCTTTTTTACCCAGTTATTGTGGTTGTTCGTAATGTCTTATTCAATTATGATAGAGAACCGAGTAGATTAATCGATCAATTAATCAGCCAAGTCAAATCAAGTTTAACAATAATGAATGAGAGGTGTATGTTTTCTATAATGAAAATAATTTATTATATTAATTCCAGAGTTCAATATTATTAAGAGTTGTAATTAGAGGGCAAGTATTATTAAAGGGTAAAATGTTATTATAATGTTGCATATAAACCAATACATTTTGATTTTTTATATCATTTAGTTATGTCTCCACAAGTGTGCGAGTATATCGAGTTGATCACAGCACTAAAAACTTCCAAGTAAAGACACTAGTACATTTGGATTTCGTTGGATAAGAAAATGTTACCTAATGTTAAAGATGCGAGTGGAGGGTTAAAATGTGTTAGGCCACAGTAGTGGACTAATATAAAAATAAACCAAATGGAAATTTTAGTAATTTTGTAAGACTTGAAGGCTACCATTGCAAATTATGACTAAATGAACCAACCTTTTTTCTTTATCATATTCGTTTTAGTAGATTCAATCTCAAGCTCTAAGCCAAGCTAATCAGTTAGCTAGATGGAGTAGTAGAGAATAGAAAATAGAGAAGTCATCAAACCTTAATATTTCAATTGTCCATGATCCAATTGACTTGATATCGAACAAAAGATTCAGAACCATTGACTTTCAAATCCACAAGTTTAAATCAAGATGCCTTTGTGTAGTTGAGAGATATAACCTTCTAAACATTGACAAAATTTGGTGGACTAATTCTTTGTTGAATTTAATTTGGTATCTCCATGAATTCATCATTGAAATTTTTGTAACTGTTGGATGCCTCTATTTAATGCTTGGGCAAAATCTCTTGTTATTCTGTTAGAGAGATTCGATCTTCGATAGATTATTTATTGTTGGTGTGCCAAGATTTTATGTTCTTGGTAGTATTGATTAAAGAGAACATTGTATTCCCATCGTTGATTTTTCCCCTTTGGTTGACAAATGTTTTTCCACGTAAAATAAATCTAGTGTTGATTGCATTTATTATCACTATGCAATAATATGTTTAGATAGAGTTTAGTAGGTGCTTTAAACAACAATAGAGACAAATTATCACTCTTATAAGTATCAAATAAGAAACTTGAGTAGCCTCATTCACTTATGAACCGAGATCGACTTGGAATTTTTATTCCTACTTTCCAAACCGATACAATTAATACTATTATGCTCAAACAACATCATATCCCGACACACTAACGTCTCATTATGTAACTAGGATGGAATTTTCAAATAAAACAAGACCTTTTCCAAGCACAAAATTAGAAACATACAACTATGACTACCTCAAGATTTTCACTCTTGAAAATACATCTCAAGTCCAACAACGAAGAGGATAATTTTCACTAAATTACGTCTATTTAGATGGTAATATCACATGAACGAACGATTGTAACCATACAAAATTGAAGACTAATTTGTTGTGCAAATGTATCCAAATTTCAAGTAGATTGGACCACGATTCACTGAGTGCCGAGGTTCGATCAAACCTTGCCAACTGTGATTTTGGTTCTCTAGTTTTGCTAGATGTGTTTAATTTATGGCTGATTTTGAACTCCAAATCATCCTTACCAAATGAAAGACAAATAAAAGTTATGGTTCTTTAATCATGTTACCTATATTACCAAAGTAACCCTTCACGTCTTGCAAAATATCAAAAGTATCATTCATTATAAATTATTATTTCCCACTAATACTTTGTATCCCAACAAATAAACAATTAACAATTTTCATCAAACTCCATTGCCAACCAAACAAAAGTTGAATTGAATGCAGATAATAAACTAATCTGTCCCTCCCTGCTATGACTCAGCATTTCAACTTATGCCAATCTCCCTGCCAACTTATCTAGCTGCATAAAAGAAAAAGGAAGTCACAAGTATCAATTTCTCCAGTTTTCCAAGAAGATGAGTAAAAATAAGGGGCATATCGAAACTGAGGAAGTCAAAGAAGACGAGTAGAAGCGAGCCAGGTGATCTAGCTGTTCTGTTTATCGGCTTCTCTTGCCCTGGCTTGTTCAACCCGCACCTCTGTCTCGAATAGCCTATCCCCCATATTCTCATTTGTCACAGCATTCTCATTGTCGACGGGTTGGGTCCAAGCTTGGATTTTAGATGTTTCATTTCTCAAGGGCAGTCGATTGCGGCCGTAGCTCATGGTTTTCGAGCATTTTAGTAGGCAACTGGTTGGCCAAAAAAGCCTATAACCTCCTGCATCTTCATAGAAAATGATATGAGCATGTGTTGAGCATCTTTAAGAGGCTCTCTATTTTTAAAGAGTATTACATAATTTATAAAGCATCTATAAATTTAAAGAATAACAATTTATAGCTAAATTCATAAGGAATCTTCTCTAGTTTTTTGCAAAATCTCAACACCAGTCGTTCGAGTACATGGTAATGATCATTTAAGGAATCTCATTGTCCAAGATCTGACACAATAATTTAAGGAATTTGAGCTTTTGGAGCTCATTATCCTCTGTGTTCCAGATTTTCCCTCAAAGACATCCAACTCTAATTTCAGAATCTCAAGTTTGGCGCCTTAATGTTGTCCCAATAATCAAAATATTTGCATGGAGAATGTTCTACAATGCACAAACCACTAAATGCAATCTCCGAAGGAGGATAGCATGCATGCCTTATTTCTTTGTTTGGAATCAAAGGCAGCATGGAATGAGTTTGATGGGTGGGAAACCATCAAGGCCTGATTGACTCCAGTGAAAATGGTGCAGCAGGGAAAGTGAGATGAGCTTAGACCATAACATAGATCCAACCACTTGTCAAATTAACCATAATGTAGTACAATTTGCAACCAGGTCATTATTTAATTTACTTACAATAAAGAAGTCGTAACTTCATGTTAACTACAAAGAAAAGATTGCAAACAAGAAAAACGACTAACAATTGACATGGAGCCCGAAATTATCTTCTAATCATGAGGTGTAGGATGTTAAGAAATTTCTTGCAAGGAAATTTAAAAAATTTAAGAATGAATCATAAAAATATTTATTTCAGGAACGAAAAAATGATGGGATGAGCTTTGACTTACACGGTGTACACCAGTAGAACGAAGTTGTCTTCACGACCAGTTGCTAAAGATGGTCACATCAAACTCTGTATCACCATAATCCAGTTGTTCTTGACGAATTTCCAAAGCTGAAGTTTCAACATTTTTACCACAATAAAGTACCTCAATCTTCTGTAGAGTTGAAATGTCACTAAATTCAGAAGGAATCTTCTCCAAAACTTCGCATTCTAGCAACACCAATTGTTCAAGTACAGGAAAATGATTGTGTGACGAATTCCAATGTTCAAGTTCTAGAGCCTCTAATTTAAGGAATTTGAGTTTTTGGAACTCATCATCCTTGGTGTCCCAAATTTTTCCTGAAAAGTGGCTGCCATATAATTTTAGAATCTCGAGGTTGGGCAATGTCCCAAATAATGACATCTTTTCCCAAGGCAAACAAATTCCATGAAAACTAAGCCTTTTGATATTCATAGGAAATTTAACCACCGAGTAATCGCCTTCGAACCAATGTCCTAAAATTGTGAGTGATTGAAGCTGAGAAAGGAAGTTGAGATCAGGAAAGTGATTGCCTGAGGATTGGCATTTAAGCGTAAGAAGATTAGGTGAATATCTCAAGATTTCTTCGTCTTCCGAATCGACAATCATAACGTGACCAAGGGTTTGTAGGCAATTTATTCGCAAGCTATCACTATTCTTAGTGAATCTTACACCATCATACTTGCCATTGATACCTAAATGTCTCAACTTAGGCATATTGAGAAGGTATGTTGGTACTTCTTTTATGAGATCCAAACAAAGATATTCAAGGTTATGGAGTTTGCCTATTGATGGCTCTAATTTTGAAAGATCCAAGTACCTCAAGTCAGGCATAAATTTGATTCCCAGTTGAACATTTTCATTATTCCCTGAATCCAAGATCCTAATTTTTTCCAAATTATAAGCAATGGAAAAGGCCTCGAAAATATTCTCAGATATGAAGACTTGATGAAACCGATCCATATACAAGCGATGGAGATGGCGATTCTTAGATAGCACGAATTGACTAGAGATGTAGAATAATAAGAACATGGAGGATCATCAGTTTAACCACATCAACCAGCATCAGCAATAGCAGCATCATTGACATAATTATGACAAATTAGTAGGATAAATTGGAAAAGTGAAGTAAAACAAGAAGGAATTAGAAAGAGAGAGTTAACTTACTGTTGAAATAGAAAAATTTCATCTTCTACAGCCATTTTGCTGCACATATCGAGTACTAGATCGTGCAGAGTACATATTTTTACTCTATTGTCAGGTCTTCTTTTGGACACTTGAAGTAGGCTCCTGTCAACAAGTTCAATTAGATACTCCTCTGCTACATCTTCTAAGGTCCTTTGCTCCCTTTTCTCTATGAATCCTTCGACTATCCATAGTGATAATAGCTTCCGAACTGGAATTTCCTTGTCTTCCTGGAATGCACTAAGATAGAGGAAACATGGCTTCAAGTAATTTGGTAAATGGATGTAGCTGAGTTTCAATGTGGGAATGTAGTCGTCTGCTTTTTGGAAAATGTAATAACTTAAACTTTTTGCAACTTGTTGCCATAAGCTTTCTTTTTTCTCCATATTTGAAAGAATTCCAGCTATCAAAACTACTACAAGTGGTAATCCCTTACAATTTGCTGCAATTTGCTTTCCAATATGTTGCAGCTCTTGAGGACAACATTCTTTTTTGAACACCTTCTGCTCTAATAAATTCCAACGTTCGTCTGGTGAGAGGGGAGGAGGTACAATGATAAAATGAGAAATTTCCGATGCCACATTTTTCAGCCTACTGGTGAACAATACTCTGCTTCTGTTTTTGTCATCTGGAAATAACCTTTTCAAATCTTCCCATGCTTCTTTATCCCATAGATCGTCCATAACAATGAGGTATCTTCTACCCTTTAAATTTTTGTAAAGTTGTTCGGCCAACTTTTCATCTTCCATTTTTGAAATATCGTCTTTTTTAAGGTTACTTAAGGAGCTCAAAATATCTTTCAACAGCTTTCTCTTATTATAAGTTTGAGAAACAGCACACCAAGAAAGCTTATCAAAATAGTACCGAACATTGGAATGATTGTATATTTTCTTTGCTAAGGTGGTCTTGCCAAGTCCACCCATTCCAACGATGGAAATAATCCGGCGGTAGTTTGGTCCTCCAACAAGCTCGCTCAGAATTTTTGTTGTCGTTTTCTCTAAGCCCACAACGATCTCTTCTACCATGGGACTGCTTTTATCTTGGGATGATGATACTTCACTTGGACTTTCTGCAACTTGTAGGCTTCCAATTCCAACTTCACTTGACACTGCAATGCTGTAATATTTAATCTTCACTAGCACAATCTCAATCCTTTCTAACAGACCAAAAATTGCAAGATCCATTTTGGTGGTGGTAACAAGATCTGTGGTGAAAAAGAAAGAATGCAAGAAAAGTCCTGCTTCATTAAATACAGCTTCAATTTCTGTGAATATACTCTCCTTCAGTTTTTCCTCATAGCTTGGAATTGGATAAAAAAGAAAGGTAAGCAGAAATTTCAACCCCTTAGGAAGACATTCGAGTCGATTACTCACAAGAACAGTGGAATCCTTTTGGCATTTAAGCAATTCTCGAATTGTTTCAAAAAGAAAGTCGATGAAGATTTTCAGTTCAGTGGGATGACACTGTGTTTCAATTGTGAAAAATTTGTTAAGCTTTGGCATGGAAGCGAGAATGATTTCTAAAAAGTTTTTGTAATGTTCATTATCGTGATGAGAAACGATCTCTTCGTATAAGATGCAATCGAAGGCTGAATCATCGAGATACTTCAATAGACAATAAGGACTGTGCATAGTAAATGGTATGCGGCAGTCTGGAGAGAAGCATCGCAATAATTCTTTTACATATTTGAGAAAAGTTAGAAAGTGTGGGCCGAGCCATTGAAAGCTAACATTTTTTTCTCCCCCATCAAGCCTTAAAGGTAGCAAACGAGAAAGGAGATCTGGGCTTTTGACTAGACGAGACAGATTTTCGTAAGAGAGATCCTCCATATTTGATTCGGACGGAAACAAAGTGAGAGCCTCCATGGACAAAGAGAGAGCCTCCATATTTGGTTTGGGCGAAAGGCTGAGCAAAGAGAGATCCTCCATATTTGATTCGGACGGAAACAAAGTGAGATCCTCCATTTTTGGTTTGGGAAAAAGGTCGAGCAAAGAGAGAGCCTCCATATTTGGTTTGGGCAAAAGGCTGAGCAAAGAGAGAATAATGAGAGTGAATTTGTTTCAAGTTTTTCAAAAAATAAACCCAAAGCAAAGGTTGAACATATCAGCAAAAACAAACGAAGAAAAAGCTCCGTTCTCTGGCTCTCTCTCTCTCATAATTTCATATGCCTTCACATAAACAAAGCAAAAGTTAAAAAAAGTCGTTGCTTTTTTCGAGAAAAAATGTGTGGAAAGGAAAAAATGATTTGTCACCATCAGTCCTTGCTTTAATAATGGCTTTAAGATAATGCACAAGAGATCAGTATAAAATCCTAAGCGAGATGTTTGTCAAATTTTACTTTATAAGGTCCCATTTGTTTTTTATTCTTTGGTTCGAAAAGTAAAAAATATGATCGTTATTCATCACATCACTCCACAATATTTGACTTTTCTTTCTTTTGTGTGAATTTTGTAACAACTATATTATTCATTATCATTCTTATAAAAATGAGAATCAAACGAGGACTATAATTTAAATTAATGAAACACACTTTTTTTCCACACATATTCTATAAACCATGAAAACTGGCATTTTCATTTGGAATTCGAATCATACACAACTAACAATTATCCCCCTCAACAATGCATCTGTCCTTGCTTTAATAATGGCTTTAAGATAATGCATAAGAGATAAGTATAAAATCCTACGCAAGATGTTTGCCAAATTTTACTTTGCAATTTAAATTAATGAAACACATTTTTTTCACACACATATTCTATAAAGTATAAACCACGAATTCAAATGGGCATTTTCTTTTGGAATTCGAATCATACACAACTAATAACTATCTAATTACATTCGTATATTTCAACATAAATTTGCATATCAAATGTTTGGATATTCAGACTTCCAATAATTTACTGAGTGACCATAAACTTAAATTTGAACACTTTAGTGCTACATATACTACATTTGATTATACAAATATTATATTTGAAGCATATTTATATTTTATTTTGAAAAAGACTTTGTTCCACCAATATCAGCTTCCAAAATTTACATTTTTTAATAAGTCATCTTTATTTAGACCAATTGGCCGTGTACGCAATTAGATATATATAATGTACGTTAATAGAGGGGTGGAGGTGCCACCACACTAATTTTGAAAATTCAATACTTCGTTCGATTTTTTTTTTCAAAATTTTCAAAGAAGTCCTTGTAGTTTTCAATTTTTGCCCCCCACAACTAATTTTTTTTATTTTGTCATTTGCCCCACAAATCTTATCTTCTAGCTCCACCCATGCTAACTGCAAAATAAATTTGCCCCACAAATCTTATCTTCTTGCTTTAATAATGGCTTTAAGATAATGCACAAGAGTCAAGAGATAAGTATAAAATCCTAAGCAAGATGTTTGCCAAATTTTACATTACAATTTAAATTAATGAAACACACTTTTTTTCCACACATATTCTATAAAGTATAAACCAATTCAAATGGGCATTTTCATTTGGAATTCGAATCATACACAACTAATAACTATCTAATTACATTTGTATATAGTCAACATAAATTAGTCAACATAAATTTGCATATCAAATGTTTGGATATTCAGACTTCCTATAATTTATTGAGTGACCATAAACTTAAATTTGAACATCTTAATGCTACATATACTACATTCGATTATAAAAACATTTATTTGAAATTGTTTCGCTCGGGTAGTCGCTAACAATTAAAAAGGGATCAGACAATCGTGTAAGGAACAAACCTCTTGAGACAAAATTCCAAAAGGGGTGTTTTATTGGCGATGAATTTACAATTGAAACTAAACAGAATGCCTCCAAGGGACGCAAGCACACGAATACTGAAAAGAAATGTTTAAGTCTAAACTAAGAAATTGAAATTACATATTCTCTATTTGAGAGTGTTTGATTCGAGTTCCTTTGCTCTATGTCTTTTCTTCCTTTTATATTCCCTTGATGATCTCTTCGTGATCAACCGTTTAGAAACTGCTTAATTGCTTTATAACTGCCCACTTTCTTCATGGTGGCTAACTTATCGTGGAACTGCAGTCTCTAACTGCTGTCATTACTCTTTGTCGTTCAACCGTCTTCAATGTAAGGAACAAACCTCTTGAGACAAAATTCCAAAAGGGGTGTTTTATTGGCGATGAATTTACAATTGAAACTAAACAGAATGCCTCCAAGGGACGCAAGCACACGAATACTGAAAAGAAATGTTTAAGTCTAAACTAAGAAATTGAAATTACATATTCTCTATTTGAGAGTGTTTGATTCGAGTTCCTTTGCTCTATGTCTTTTCTTCCTTTTATATTCCCTTGATGATCTCTTCGTGATCAACCGTTTAGAAACTGCTTAATTGCTTTATAGTGCCCACTTTCTTCATGGTGGCCAACTTATCGTGGAACTGTCATCTCTAACTGCTGGCACTACTCTTTGTCGTTCAACCGTCTTCAATTGAATTCCTTGAATCGTGGAACGTGATAAGATTACTTAATAACTGGTTCGATAACTGCATTTTTGGATAACCATAACATCCTATGTTTGCTAAGATCCTGGGTGATTCGAAGGTTTGAGCGAGAACAGGGTCATAACCCTGGGCGACTGCAAGGCACTTCATTCGCTCAGATCTTGAGCGTCTTGCAAGTTTGGGCGATGATGTTACCGCGTTCGTGGGCTTCCATTGCATTCATTAATAACCCTATTTGGGCCTTTATCCTGAATTGCCCAATTGGACTTCATTCTTTGGGCTATTCGATTTGAGCTGCACTTTTAGCGTGTCAACAGAAATATATTTATATTTTATTTTGAGAAAGACCTTGATCCACCAATATCAACTTCCAAAATTTAATTTTTTAATAATTCATCTTTGCTTAGACCAATTGGCCGTATATGCAATTAGATATATATAATGTACATTAACTTAGGGGAAGAGGTGCCCCACGGTAATTTTGAAAATTCAATACTTTGTCCAATTTTTTTTTCAAAATTTTCGAAGAAGTCCTTGTAGTTTTCAAATTTCCCCCACAACTATTTTATTTTATTTTATTTTTTGTAATTTGCCCCCACAAATATTATCTTCTAGCTCCGCCCATGCTAACTGCAAATAAATTTTAAATGCACTTGGTGAAAATTAATTTTCTCAATCGTTTCATGGCCATCCAAAGAAGAAATCAAATATAGAATTTTTTTTTCGACTTAACGCAAAATTCAGTCATCACATTCCCGAACACCCCAAGCAGAATATGGAAACAAGAGATTATGGATGACAAAATTTCCACTTCTAAAAGTTTCAATAACATCACAAAAAATTCTGAAATGTTAGTGATTTAAGTAGAAATAGAGTTTAAAAAGAAGTAGGATTTAAAAATTTCAAATTTTTAACTTCAATAGGCCAACCATACATTTAAATTCTATCCGAGGATGCAAAGCAGCATCTAATTAAGACGATTGCTGCAAGATGCATGGACTTGTTAAATCATGTGCATGCTTACGAGCAGGCTCATGGACCAGACCTTGAGCTTGCCCAAAGAGTTATGCTCTTGACCATTCACAAGACCGCTCTTTTTAAGAAATCGGAGTCATGCTCTACACATGACCAGTGTTTCAATGAGCCGCACCAATGGGTTGATCCCAATTTAGTAGTCCATATAAGCCGACAAACTGCTTGAGATCATTGTCATCGTAACTTTAAGATGAACTAGATTTAGAAATTTAAATTAAAGAAAAAATAAATTTATAACTAAAGTATTGAAAAACGCTATTTAAATGAATTTTGTAACTGAGAAGCTTGCATCCGAGATAATTTAGTGGAAAGCCACGAACCCCAATTTATAGTTTTCTATAGGGGCATGGGAAATGAGTTATAGCTTATTGGGTCATTGAGCCTAGATCGACGAATCAATTTTAGTTTTGTATTTTCTTAATTATTTTCAAATATACATGAAACAGTAACAACTGTTACATATAAAATGACCTAGATTTCTTTTCATGTTTTACAAATGAAGTTAAAACATATTTTGTATATCATATTGTTGTATCTTCACAAGAGTGTGAGTAGTTTAAGTTTGATACAAACTTACAAGTAAAGAGACTTGTATATTTGGAATCCACTGAATAGGAAAATGTGAATAATTAATTTTACTAACTTGACTAAATGCCTATTTCAATTTTGTGTGGGTAATGAGCCTTAATTCACGGTTTGATCTCTTTGAGATATTAAACACCGACATTATTGATACATCATTATCAATTACAAAATGAACACTTGTATCTGTTTATTTGTAATAATACAAATTTGAAGACTAATATGTTGGGTAAATGGATCCAAATTTCAGGAAGAAGCATTGAGTACCGAAGTTTGATCAAATTGTGCCAAATTTGATTTTCGTTCTCTGATGTTGCTCGTGATTTGTTTGGTGCTGATTTTGAACTCTAAACCTCACTAACCAATTGAAAGACAAATAAAGTCACGGACCTTAAATCATGTTCGCCTAAATTACCGAAGTATCCCCTCAAGTCTTGTAAACTATAAAAGTGCCATTCCTTTTTAATTTTTATTGTCCCCTTGTATGTTGCATCCCAATAAAACAACAATTTTTCATCCAACTCCATCAATAAATATTCAGCGGAGAGATTATTGAGTTGCTAATCTAAGAGCTTTGGACATCTGATTATTTTTTAAGTTTACGAGCTTTAATTTTCTCATATGCCTTTAGTGAAATTAATGTCTTCCATATCATAGGCAATTGGTTGGGAAAAAGCCTATAAACGGCCAAAGTCTCAAAACTATGAAGTTGCTTTTTAAGTTTCATTGAAATTAAGTATGTCTAGATAACTTACTTTTTTCTTATTTTTAAGTGATGAAAGGCTTGTATTTTCTTTTTAATTTACGATCCTTATTATCTAATTGGATGAATCTATTTTATACTTCTTGTCGAGTATAATCGCCACGACAACGGTGCGTCTAGGTATAGCGTTAAAAATATTGTTGGTCACGTGACTTGTAATGTTGTTTTGGTTTGATCGTTAGAATTTCTTTTGGTCAAGTGAGGGACAGAAATTTCATTTTTTATAATCAATTTAGTTACTTTTTCATGTTGAATTAGAGAAATTCTGTCATGGCCAACATGATTGATAACATGGCATCGGAAAATTTTGTTAGTGCATTATTCCTGTCTTCTAGCCACG